CTCTGCCCAGAAGACGACTTTATTAGTCGTCTGCTTAGGGCCTGAGTTGCAGAATTTTAAGCATGATTTTGCTTGTGTGGGAGATCAATGCTATGGTTTTATAGTTGCTGCAGTCTGTTGTGTCTCCCTTTTTGTGGATAAAGATTTATATTGATCACTTCCAATCTGTTGGCCATTGTTTTGTTTTCCATATCTGTTGACATATGTTAGTTAGCACTAGAGTTGAATCTGTCAGTGTGGATTGCAGCAGTTCAATTGGAATATCATCTGTTCCTGGTGATTTGTTTTTCACTATTTCCACCTACTGACTTAAAAACTCTTAATCACTGTGTGTGTGTGTGTGTGTGTGTGTGTGTGTGTTGTCTGCCTTCAAGTTGCCTCTTGACTTTTGGTGACCCCATGACTTTCATAGGGTTTTCTGAGGTACAGAATACTCAGAGGCAGATTTGCTAGTTCCTTCCTCTGGAATGTAGCCTACAGCATCTGGTAGCCTTTGGTGGTCTCCCATCCAAGTATTAACCAGGGCTAACCCTGCTTAGCTTCCAAGATCGGAGAGGATTTGGTGCCTTTTGGATACTTAAACCAGTAGAGAAAGATGCCTGACCTCAGGCTAGACTAACTATAGGCATGCTATCATTTTGCTACAAATGTTTTTTCATTCCTGTCTTTTGTATGTGACATGATCCAGTATGGGTTTCTGGATTTGTTTCTACTAAACTATAGTAGCTGAAGTTTGCCGCTGGTACTGTTGACCAGACATCTTCAGATTCCTGATATTAAATATAAATATACGCGTACATATATTTCACTGGACAAGAATGTTATATTTGAGCAGAATTACATTTTGAATGGTCCAGTCATGGCAATGTGGCTGCTGTCTGATAGGCCTCTGGAGTGAGATCAGAAGGGTGCAAAAGTGGTATTAAAGCCAAATAAACTAACACCATTATCTTTTGGGTGAGTTTTTGTAAAATATATTCAAAATAAGTGGCAGTTCCCATCCTAAACATGCTTAACTAGAGATTACATTCCACTGCAATCAAAAATTTAGTGAGAATACTTGAATAAATATAGAGCCAGCATAGTGCAGTGGTTTGAGCATTGGACTACAGCTCTGATGATCAGGGTTCAGTTCTCTGTTTCAGCACAAAACCCACTGGGTGACCATGGGAAGGTCACACACTCTCAGCCTCAGAGGATGGCAATGGCAAATCCCCTCTGAAGAAACTTGCCAAGAAAACCCTATGATACCTTCACCTTAGGGTCACCATAAGTCAAAAATGACTTGGGGGCACACCACAACAACAAAAACATAAATGTATATCTTTAAGATCCAGAGCTTGGAGAATTTACTTTTTTGGACAACAACTCCCACAATTGCCCTGCCACCATCTCATCTTGGCTAGGGGATTTAGGGAGTTGTAGTCCAAAATATAACTTTTTAAAGTCCTGTTAAGATTACACTACAGTTTTGAGTCAGTGCTGATGTTGCACATTAGCTTGAGAGTAATTCCTGTGAAACTATGTGATAATGTATTTTTGTGTAAACATATGGAGGATTGAGATGCACATGCTGCTTACTCTACTGCTCTGGACATCAGAGCTAGAACTTCTGGCAACAGGCAAAACAAGAAAGACCAAGAAAATAGCCTCATTTGGGCATAATGATAAACTATATAAAGCAGTGGTTCCCAAACTTTGGTCCTTGGGATGGTTTGGACCTCAGCTCCCAAAATTCCTGATGGTTGGCCAAGCTGGCTGGGGCTTCTGGGAGTTGAAGTCCAAAACACCTGGACGACTAAAGTCTGGGAATCACTGCTCTAAAGAGTGTGGCTTATCATCCACAAGCAGGATGATGGTGCATGCTATGTGCTATACCTGGCTCTTCCTACCTATGGAATGAATGTACTAACTAAACATTAATAAGGAAGCAAAAGCATCCTATTACATCTGGATCTGGATCCTGATTTTAGTTTAGACTCTTTTAGGGGAATGAGGAACAAACTGTCAGGGTTTGCATTTGTTTTCTTGTTAGTTGCTGGTTGCTTTAGCTGCTCTGTTGACAGGAAAAGCCAGGCTGTGCTCTGTGCACCAACCAGTACACTCTTTATTGAATGATAAGCCTCAATTCTGACCAGTTCTGCATACCAATACATATCAACAGAGCCAGTAATACTACAGCACAATGTAGTTTTACAGGAATGATCTCAGCCTCCTTTGGGCTCAAATAATCCCAACTCCCTCCAGTATAATTACAAAAAGATCAAATGCCTTTGCTTCCATTGAAATTTAGCATGTAATTCAGACCCCAAACTCAGCTATTTTCAACAGCTTCATAAGTGACGATTTGATGTTTGCTTGTTTCTACTAACCATAGTTATAATGGGCAGAACCCATTAATTTCAGCTATTTTCAACAGTTTCATAAGTGATGATTTGACGTTTGGTTGTTTCTACTAACCATAGTTATAATGGGCAGAAATGTCATTAGATAGTCTGTCCCAAGCACACTGTACTGATGGGAAGTTTAAAGTTTAAACAGAGGCTGAGAAAGTCATTTTTTGCTAACTTGGTAAAGTAGTGAGACGTTTCTGGAAGCAGTAGTTTGAACTTTTTAAAGCTCTGAATTTAAGTATGAATACATTATTTTTTATAAAAATAGAGGTGTGGAAAGTGTACTTCCTGTATATCATGCAGCTCCAAATCTGTCTTTATGGCCTCCTGAGTTACTCACAAGCCCCCAGACTTTTTTAATTATTATTATTTGATTCCCCTCCAGGAACGTTTAGCCCCACACTCAATTGAGAGTGTTTTATGTGAGGGAAGGGAATCATGCAAAAGACACCAAAGAGGCATAAAATGGAAGTTCAGTTTTGGTAACTTCCAGTGCTGGCTTTCAGGAGGTGTTGTTTAGCACAAGAACAAAAATTTGTCCTCACTGCAGGAATAAGGTGATGCTGGATATAGTGCATCACCTTATCTCACCTTGCAACTCAGTTTCTTGTGTCAATTGAGGGTTACAACTCCACTTCACACTCCTGCAGTGAGGCTGGTGCCCAGCTATGATAGTGATCTAGTGTGCTTATTGCTAGTGAGGAACTGTTTGTATACAGCAGGGGTAGGCAACCTTTCCCCTTTAAGGGCCGAGGGACTTCAGCTCCCAGAAGCCTCAGCCATGTTGGCCAATAGTCCCATGTTAGCCAAAAGCTCCTGGGATTCTGGGAGCTGAAGTCCCTCGGCCCTTAAAGGGGAAAGGTTGCCTACCCCTGGTATGCAGTATTAGCATCTCTGTGTGTGCCAGTCTCTTCTCATGAGATTCTCTGCAGGTGTTTTTGGCTACAGCCCTACCAGCCTGAGAGTACATGGCCAGTGATCAAGGATAATGGGAGCAGTAATACAAGACATCGAGAGCACATACTGATAGGGTGGTTGTTCTATGCTACCCAAAACCCATCCCTCATAGCTGAAAATTTCTCAATACAGGTTTGTTGTTGTGCGCCTTCAAGTCATTTTTGATTTATAGGGACCCTAAGGCAAACCTATCATCAGGTTTTCTTGGCAAACTTCTTTAGAGGGAGTTTGCCATTGTCATCCTGCGGAACTGAGAGAGTGTGACTTGGTCAAGGTTACCCAGTGGATTTTTATGCTTGAGTGGGGATTCGAACCCAGATCACCAAAGTCAGAGTGCAGTGCTCAAACTGCACCACCACACTGGCTCTCTCTCAACCAATACAGGTTGAGTCTCCCATATTCCAAAATCCCAAAATGTCCACGTGGGAGACTGAGATAGTGACACCTTTGCTTTCTGATGGCTCAGTGTACACAAACTTTGTTTCATGCACAAAAATATTAAAAATATATATAAAATTACTTTCAGGTTATGTGTATAAGATGTGATGTTGTTTTTGTTGTGTGCCTTCACGTTGTTACAAAACATAAATGCAGTTTATCTTTAGACTTGTGTCCTATCTTCAAGATATCCCATTATCCATATACAAATATTCCAGATCCATATACATATATCCAAAACACTTCTAGTCCCAAGCAATTTAGATAAGGGAAACTCAACCTGTACAAGCTTTGTTTTGGTATGTTTCAAAACTTTTTTCTACATGTCAAAACTTGTGTGTCAACCAAGAGCATCATGAGGTCATCAGTCAGTTTTTATAGGTTGTGCTGTTGTAATTGTGTCCATTGGAGGAGTTCTGCTTTCATGATGTTGTTCTCCATGCTCCTGGAGCGGCATTCAAGGCTATGGAAAGAGCAATCCCAGAGGCTTTGAACTGATGTGTTGCTGCTGCTGCTGCTGCTGATGATGATGATAATAATAGTAATAATAATAATAATAATAATAATAATACTTTATTACTATACTGCCCCTCTGAGGACAATTGGGGCGGTTCACAGTAAAAACACAATACAGTCATACATTAAAATCAATTTCCCACCCCCCTTAAAAAATTATTAAACCACTTAGAATTAAAACCAGACACTTTAAAACATCCGTATCTAGCATATTATGCAATCAATAACTGCGGTAATATTCTACTCAAAATTCAAAGGGGAGGCTTAGGAGACTCTCCCAGAGAGGGTTCCTGAGGCCGGATGTCTATTCTGGAAAGGCCTGCCGGAAGAGATCATTATTGTGTATCCCTGTGGGTGGTGGTTGAAATACAGAGAACCGGGTGATGTGCTGGTTTCTGATCAAGGTTTTCTTTCTAACTGTACTCTAGTTATTTATTAAAACCATGATTTGTCTCACAGACTGTCAGACCAACTGTGGTTGGTTTGCTTTCTCCTGACCTCTGGAAATGCCTGGCTGCTGTACTGAAATGCTGAGCAGCCCTTGACTACTAGCCAAACGTTTCCACATCATCTATGACGTTGCTTCTTGCCTTCCTCGGCATGGAACAAATAGGATGCCTCAAATAACCCTCCTTTACTGCTTTTATAAACTGTTACTAAGAATTCCTGCTGGGCATATTTTTAAAAAATTAATCCTTTCCTTTGATGAATCACACTTTTTGCTGGTGATCTACTTAGATCCTGTCCACAAGGGCATTTTATATAGCTGACAAGTAGACATTGGGTTGTCTCAATCTCCGTATCATCCCAGTTTGACTAATCAGTAGCCATGGGATAAGATGCTATTTATTTCTCCATTATATATGCACCCATTTTAGTCCTGACTCATATTTCCTCTCAAAAAAGATCACAAAACAAGTGATCCCCTCCCCACCCTTTTAAGTTTCTTTTCTTTTCTTTCTCTTATAGTCCAGGAGCAGAATTAGGCTGTTTGGCTCGTCAGGGATTTAAAAGTGAGGAGGTAGATGGGGAATTGAGCATGTTGCCAGGCAGTCTGAGTATGAAAGAGGAATTCTGTGGAAGTGATAGGAAGACACTCTTCAACACTGTTTAATTTCTCAGCTGATCTGCCTTCCTGTTTGTTGCCAGGAAGATTGGAATTTCGGAATGATGGAATAAACCACGAAGAATGGTTTGTACATTGTAAAGGTAAACTATGGTTAATGAAACTGCTTCAAAATTACTTTTTTGCATTACTGCTAGCAAAACACCAAACCTCTCACCAAGATTTATGGGTGAGAGCCTTAAAACAAAACATAGTTAAACTGTTCAGATTACTCATAACTAAGCTCAATGCCATGTTTTTGTATTCTGTTAGGAGCCAACTCGGTGCTTGTGCATTGGAAGCTGAAAGATGAACCCAAGAAAATCGTCCTATGGCACTTAAGGAAATAAGTGAAAAGCCACAATGGGTAGAGATTACACAGATTTTACTCAGTCCTGTTGCTTGGCTGTAAGAGTGAATGCAATACAGTGGGTAGAGTTCTGGGTTCAGTTCTTCACTCATTCATGAACCTTCATGCCAGATCTAATCGTGGCTGGACAAATTACCTCCATTAATAATGTATTTAATTTTCAGGCTATATAGTGATAGGACACTAAAAATGCTAAACACTCGAGTTAGTTGGTACAGCTTGGTCTACTCAAAATCCTTCACACTCTAAAACGTGTGGGAAACAGATTGCATTGCCCCGCTCCCAGGAAGTCAAACTGTTTTCCTCTGTAATCTCTTTCATGATGGCAGCTGGAAGTGGTCATGTCAGTTCCTGTCACTATTTCGAGA